TATATATACATATATATATATTTCTTTCATTTCATGATTATTACTGAAAATGATTTTGCTGTGTGAAGGAAGGGGTGTTAAAAATGGTCCATTTGGGGTGTAAAATACCCTAAGCATGCCTCTGATTGAAATAGCAGTTAAAAAACGAAACCCCAGAAACTCACTCTGTTTCTCCTATTTTTCCCCAAGTCTGTGGACCACCCCCGGCCCCTCCCAGGCCACTTCCTCCTACCATAAATGATCAAATCCCACATTTTCGTCTTCAGCGTCCACCTCCATTGCCTCTTTCCCTGGGGTCTGCAGCAGGAGGGTGTTTCCTCATGCTGACTATCCCCCAGTCTTACCCCCTACCAACTGTCCATTCTGGAACCTTCCAGCTCCATCACTTTGAGGTTTGGGGTACTGGTGAAGGTGATGGGGGCCCAAGACTTCCTCAGCCACCCCTTCGTATCATCTCTATAATTGTCTTTGCTAATAGGCAAAGCCCTTGTCTTTCCAGCCCCTGAATCCAGTGGCTGGAGGTTTGTAAGCATCCCCAAAGCCTGGGGGTGTGGATTTCTGTCTTACTCTCCACGTGCACTGCCACTTCCTGTTGCTCCCAGAATAAGTATCTCTCACACTTCGACCCACCTCTAGGCGTTTGTACGTGCAGTTCCCTCTGCCTGGAACATTCCACCCTCTCTTTCCTGGGCTCTCAGAAATGACACCTTCAGAAAGCTGTCCCTCCCCTTTGGTGTGAACAAGAGATCTCCCCAATAGTCCTAGGAGTTCTGCCTGTCTTTCCACTGTTGTCTCCCCCTGGGCTTTGTCCTTGGGTCAGCGCTCTTTCCCCAGCTCCTGCACAGGAGGACTCAGAGTTGGCTGAATTAATCAAAATGGATTTGGTTTGACCAGGTCATCTAGCAGTGGCAGGCAAGTGCTGCACACAGTAGGCCCAGTTGTCTTGAGCTTACCCACTGTGGACCACCTTCTAAAGCTGAGGAGCAAACCTGGGGAGACCCCTGGTTGCCAAGAGCAAATAGGCCGCCTAGGGAAGTTTTGCTCCGGGTCACACCCACCTTTGGGTGGCTGCCAATCTTCCTGCCAGAAACCGCAAGCTGAGCTGAGGCTGCCCAGAGTCTGGGGCCATGGGGCTTAGGAGCTCTGGGGTCAGCTCTGCAAAGGGGGTGTTTGCTGAATGCTTTCAGCATCTACAGCCCCTCTGGGCTCGGGCAGGGGGTCTGGCATAGGGTTGCAGTAGCTACAGCTTTGGCTCTGGCCAAGGTCCTCTTGGGCTGGGAGGAGCTAGACAGGCCCCTGCCAAACTGTCACAGGCTCGTGGTGCTGGCATTGGCTCAGGCTTTCATACCCACACACGGACACACACTGGCTAGCATTTCCTTGGTGGCCTCCACGGTCTCACCTTCAGGTAAATGTGCTCATCACTGGGACCAGGAGGATGGGGAGAGTAGCAAAGAATGAAAATCCAGTGTGCGTGTGTGTGTGTGTGTGTGTGTGTGTGTGTGTGTGCATGTGTGCATGCGCGCCCGCCTGGGAGTGACCGAACAGCTGCCGGAACATAAAGACCCACAGGTCCTGCCTCCCAGGCTCAAAGCTGGCTCCACCAGGGACACAGTGACATGAGAGGCACACCACAGACCCACCTCCTGGCCTTCTCTCTCATCTGCCTCCTCTCAAAGGTAAGGGGGCCCAGCCCCTGAAAGTTCTGCTGGCTGCTTCAGTGTGGAGTGGGTGGGGGTGTAAAATCCTAGCCAGGCACCCATGGCAGATTCCTCCAGGGCCCTCCTCTGGGCACATTCTAGTCTCAATGCCCAAACCAGGCTTCCCTCCCTGGTGCCTATAGTGCTGCCTCTGGCCAGCCCTTCTGTGTGACCTTAGGCAAGTCCCTTTTCTTCTCTGAGCCTCAGTCTGTTCATCAGGTGAATGGGCACAATGTTCACGAGGCCTTTGTGAACATCATTCATGATAATTCACCTAAAAGACTTAGCACAGGACTTGGCACTCAAAAGAGGATTTTAATGATCATTACCAATTGTCACATCCCTCTACAGAGCAGGGCAGGTATCCCCATTATAAATGGGGGGATTAAAGACATGACATGCGTTGCTTAACTCTGAGGCAGGATTTGAATGGGTGTTTTGGATGGTGTCTCACTGATTGGAAAGTTCATCCAGCAAGGGGATTAATGCTGTTGGGTCCTTAGGTGGTGAGTAACCCATTAATCTTGACTCCAGGGGGACAGAAGACACCTCCATGCAGTAACAGTCTTCTCCCCCAGTCCTGCATGGGGCATTTATTAAAGGGCATGTGAGATGTTCACCTTGTGTAACATGCACAATAACCACATAAGGATTTATTAGCCCCAGTTTTTAATCAACCGAAGTTCAGAGAGGGTAAGCAACTTTCCCAAAGCCACACAGCAAAGAAATACCATTGCAATAGAGGAGGAGTATGCTAGAAGCAGAGTAGTCAAGCCCAGGATAGACGTGGGTGAGTGAGGGGGACTCCAGTCTGCTTCTGCCCAACCCTAACCAGGATCGAGGCCACAGCTATTGAACTGTGTTACCCCCTCAGCAAATGCTGAGTTCCTGGAACCGTGGGATCGGCCCCAGCACAGCCATGATCTCACTGCATTTTTATGCTCCTTTGAGGAGCAGGAGCAGGAGCTTCTCTCTCCTGGGCCCCACGGGGCTGTGCCAGGGAAAGCTGAGAACTCTCCTGGCACCCAGTCCTGCTGTTTCTTTACCCTAAGGGGTGGGCAGGATGTGATGCCAGGGTGGGTGGCCTGGGTAGCCAGAGCAGGGGATCTGGGGTTCTGGGAGGCAGAAGGGGCCCAGGATGATGAAGGGCCATGTAGAACTCTCCCAGTCTCACTATCGGGGTGAGACCGATGGGACCACCCCTCCCTGGTCCTGGGAAGCCAGGGAGCATCCTGCACAGAAACGCAGGGACTTAGTCATCACCAGCACGGAAGCCCCAGCAACCCTCACAGAGAGAATTCCAAGTCTTCCAGGCAGGCGACTGGCTCCTGGGCACAGGGCTGTGGACCGGGGCAGGAGACAGACTCCTGGAAACAAGCAAAGTCACTCAAAGCTAGGTGGTATGCACACCATTCCTCAGAGGAGAAACCGAACTCCACCACCACACCACAAAGCAGTGAAGACCTGGGTTCAACGTCACAGAGCCAGTCAGGGGTGAACTTGGATCTCAGCTCTTGCCCAGAAAATTCCATGCCCTGTGTGTGAGAGGACAACTTAGCCTGAACTTTGGATCCACAGGATCATGAATTCAAATCCTGGTTCCACCTCTTACTGGTGTGTTACCACACTGCTCAGAGCTTCAGTTTCTCAGTCTTTAGAATAAGGTGTAAGGATGGCATCTCGCATGGGAAGGTGAAATCAGACAACAGTGCATGTGGTATAACTGTGATAACTGACAGCTACAGTCATTGATGTCATTAATAGCCTCTAGGCTATCCTGGGTGATGGACACAGTCCAGCCCCTGGCAAACAGGGACTCAAGGGCACAACAAAAGTCCTATTTCCTATCTCCCCTGTTCTAGTCAAAGTCCCCCAGTGACTACAAACCAAGAAAGCTGAACCTCTGGTTTGGAAGGGAACCCAAAGTCCAGGCTCTTTCTTCCCAGATCCCCTAGATTCATTAAAATGAAGATTCGGATTTATGAAGAAGGGCCCTAGATGCTACTTCCCTAGCAAGCCCCCTAGATGCTACTGAGACTACTAGCCCAGACCACACGGAAGGGGTGAAGCTGGGCCATCTTCTCCAGAACCTGAAAACCCTACAGAGATGGGACCTGTTCCCCTCATGAGAGGCACACGTGTACACAGAGACACACACACACCTGCTACCCACTGCTGCCCTCCAGGTTGGGAGCCTGAGGTTGCCCCCTGCCCTGGGTCCCCACTAGATGGTCAGTCAGTTGTGGGATCCCTGGTGGCCAGAGTGGGAACTTCAGGCAACTGAAAGCAGGTTTGCAGAGCTTGGGAGATCTACTGAGATGGGGCAAGATGGAGGTCAGTGCCTGCTTGGGGGCCACACAGGAGCTACATGCAGATGAGGTCCTAATTTTATCTTCCTAAACTGTTTATCTCCCTTCTTCTAGTACAAACCTTCTAGTCCCATAAGAATCCTACCAAATATGATAAGGAATTATACCTACCTTTCCACGTCCACATGCAAGGGGACATACAGGGAACCCAGAGCATCTGATTTATGGTTTTTCTGTCTCCTCAACCTGGGTGGGGAGAGGAGACTTGGGTTCATACATTGGGCTTACTTGGATTCATACAGTGACCTTGCCATTGAGGGCTGGACCCTGGCTCAGGCTTTTCCCTGTTATGGTAAAAGTGTTCCCCCAGCTGGTGGCCCAGGGCCCTCACCAGAGAAGCAGGACTTGGGATTGTTCCCAGCTCTGCATCCAACACACTGACTTTTGACAAGTCCCTTCTACTCCCTGGAGCTCAGTTTCCCTATCCATACTGGGCATGTGCAGTGGGGCACAGGGGCTGAAATCCTAGCTGAGCTTCAGAAGGCAATGGACAGCTTGACTTCTGATTCAAGTCCCAGAAAGGGTCTTGTATTTTGCCAAGTTTTCTGCCTGATGTGGTGCATGTCCTAGGGTCAGAAACACATTTGGATTGTTCCAAAAATCAAGAAAATTTGTGATACTGTTTGGTGTACCCAGTCAAGACAAGCATCCACAGGATGGGAAATGTTCCACACACCACCATTTGAATCCTTGGTGTGTTGCTTCGGCCTGTCACCTCTTAATGGGAGGAGCTGAGCCCCTCACTGTAATTAACAACCATGGTCATCAGAGCTCAATGCATTGAGCACCTACTGTGTGCCAGGCAACGTGCTGCGGGTGTGACATGTATCAAAGCAATCCTTTGAGGCAGATACTACTATTGTCCCCATTTTACAGTTGAGGAAACTGAGGCTCAGAGAACTTAAGTAACTTGCCTGAAGATGCTTAGTTAATAAGAGTGGAGTTAGCGCTAGTCCAGTCTTTGCTCATGACCACAATGCCATACTACCACTTAGGGAGTGACCCAGGATTGCCACGGTCCAGGGCCAGCTCTGCATGACTTTGAGACAAAGATGTGGACTGTCCATCTCAATAGCCCCATGGCTGAGTGAGGTCTCTGTCTCTTCAGGTGTGTACCCAGCCATGCCCGACACTGTGTACCTGCCCCTGGCCACCACCCCGCTGCCCACTGGGGGTGCCCTTGGTGCTGGATGGCTGTGGCTGCTGCCGGGTGTGTGCACGGCGGCTGGGGGAGCCCTGCGACCACCTGCACGTCTGTGACCCCACCCAGGGCCTGGTCTGCCAAGTCGGGGTGGGCCCCAGCAGCCGGGGAGCCCATTGCCTCTGTAAGCAGGTTTGCGGGACTGATGGAGGGTGTGCGCGGGGAGGTCGTGGCCGTGGGGTCCTGAATTGAAGGGCGACTTTCCTTTTTCTACCTCTTTGCACCCTCTCTTCCGATACACCATCCATTCCAGGACAACCTGGTGACCCAAGGTTATCTCAGGTCCAGCCCTTACTTCTCCCCTTGGTCTTCGCTTAGATCATGACTACCACCTGGGTAGACTTTCCTCGTTCCCACCTGCCCATCTCATTGCCAACTTTCAAAGCCAAGCTCAACACCTCCCCTGAGAATCCTTCCCAGATTCTTCCAACCAGAAGCCACCAACCCCTTTCTCAGGCTTCTCACAAGACTTTGGGGGGAATAAAAGTGCAAGCCCTTATTTAGAGAATAATCTGCACTGGGCTACATGCATCCTACACGAGTCACACCATAGTCACAATACTCCTGTAACAATAAGTACTTTCAGATCTGTGCTATACACGAGGAAACTGAAGCTCAGTGGTATAATTGACACGCTTCATGTCACACAGCTTGGGACAGGCTCTCAAAGGAACATTCCATTCAGTCTTTCTCCCAGAATGGGGGCCCTCAGACCAGTGTGAATCCTGGGTTTGCCATTTACCAGCTAACTTGAAAGTGTTACATCTCTCACCACTCTTCTAAGCCATGGGCATGGTTTGGCAAACTTGCTCTAGTCACATTGGGGCCAGATAATTCTTGCTGGGGGTTGTGGACTGTCCAGTACGTGGCAGGACAGCCATATCCCTGAACTCCACTCACTAGATGCCAAGAGAATCCTTGCTTCCACACCCCCAAGTGGTGACATGCCTTTAGACATTGCCAGCTGTCCCCAGAGAGCAGAATCCGCAGTGGAGAACGACCTCTTTTTTTTTTTTCCCTGCTCCAAAAATCGATTTAATATATTGTCCTCGGATTGAGGACGTATCAGATATCAAACTGATAAGAACAGATACCACACTTGATCTAGCCAAAAGGCGGAGAAGTGATTGCTCTCTGTTTTTAAGCAATAAGCATAGAACTATTTATATCTTTCATTTACGTGTATGTCACTTTTACAAAAAGAAGAATGAGAGAGAGAGAAAAAAAAGTTCATGAATCATTGACAATGAATCCATCTGCAGGAAAAAGCCTTGTTAAAAAATAACAATAAAACTTACAGATAGCAAGTTATCAGTAGTAAATCCTTGCTAAATGCTTTATTTGATCGGTGGCATAGGAGAAAGGGATGATTTGTTAAGAAAATGTACCTAAGGAAAAAACCGAGATAAGTAACTCTTAGCTTCCAAGGCTGTCCAATTGATTCTCCATGACACACACCAACAGCACTCGTCAGAGTTTATTTATTGAACACTTACATAGGCCTCACCATGTGCCAGGCACCGAGGGCATCGCAAATGTAAGCTCATTTTATCTCACAACCACCCAATGAGGAGGCACTAATGTTACCCTTATCTTATAAGTGGAAAGAAGAGGCTCAGAGAGGGTAAGCACCTTATCCAAGGTGACACAGCACATAAGTAGCAGAGCTGCAGTTGGAACTCAGGGATCCGGGCTCCATGGCTCAACTACTCAACACACAACATATGATTTGGACATACTGGCTTTTTATGGTCAATAACCTTATTAAAGAGCTTTCCTTAGTCCATCTCTCTTTTGGGGGGGGGCAGGGGAACAGAGTCTCACTATGTTGCCCTGAGTAGAAGGCTATGGCATCATAGCTCACAACAACCTCAAACTCTTGGGCTCAAGCGATTCTCTTGCCTCAGCGTCCCAAGGAGCTGGCACTACAGGTGCCTGCCACAACACCTGGTTAATTTTTCAACTTTTAGTAGGGACAGGGTCTTGCTTTTGCTCAGGCTGGTCTCAAACTCCTGAGCTCAAGTGATCCACCTGCCTTGGCCTCCCACAGTGCTAGGATTACAGGTGCTGTGCCTGGCCTCTTATTCCATCTTAATTCAGATTTCAAACACCTGCAGGCCAAGGATTTACTTGGTCCTTGGTCCTCCTTGCAGGTCCCAATGTTGGTCTGGCAACATGTGGGTGCTCATGAATGTTTAATAATTTGAATTGATTTATAGTGCTGGGAGCTGATGGACATCACAGGTGAGTCAGAATTCAGCTAAGACCTCACAGAGGCTCAGTCTCAATCTGGGGCTCTGCAGGGAACGTGCTTTTAGGAAACCTCTCTCACTCACTCATTGTACCATCCTTCCCTGAGGGCCAACTCTGTGCGCTGGGCTGCAGATTCCCAATTTAGGTAACAGCATGTCCAGTGCTGAGCTCTGATCTCCCTCCTACCCCTAAGCTTGGCAGTAACCCCAGTCCAGGGAGAGCATCTCCATTCCTTCCTCGGCTCAGGTTCAACACTTTGGAGTCATTCTTGATGTCTTTCTTTTTCTCACCCCCCACATAGTATTCCCAGCAAATTCTCACCTATTTCCAGAATCTGACCCCTGTCAGCCCCTGCACACCACTGCCTTGGTCCAAGCCCCATCATTCTTTGCCTGGACTTTGTAGCACCCCCACAATTGTCTCCTTCCTCTGTCCTTGCCCCTAGTGCATTCACGGTACAGCAGGCAGGGGCACCTGCTAAGTCAGAAGTCAGAGTTCCTCTTTCTCTGCCCCAAACCCACCAGTGGCTGCCCATCTCCTCAGAGTCAAAGTCAAAGTCCCCACAGTGGCCTCCAAAGCTCCATGGATCCTGCTCCTGTTTTGTCTCCCCCCTGCTCTCTGCTCCAGCCACCTCAACCTCCTCACCGTTCCTCCAATACACCAGGCACCCTCTGGCCACAGGGCCTTTGCACTGGCTGTTCCCTCTACCAGCATTCTTGGTCTGCAGGTATCTGCAGGGCAAGTTCCCTCACCTCCCTCACATCTTTACTCAAATGTCACCTTCTCAGGGAGACTTTCCCTGATCACCATATTTTAAAACTGCAGACCCCTCCCAACTCCTTAACCTTCCTTTATTTTTCTAATGCTCATCAGCCGACATAATAAACCTAGTAGTTTATTGTGTTCACTTCCACTAGCGTGAAAGCTCCGGTGAAGGCAGGATGCTTGCCAGTTTTATTCGTTGCTGTATCACAAGTGCCTAGAGCAATGCCTGGGTCATCATAGGCACTCAGTCAATAGTTGTTGAATGAATAATAATAATCGTTTTCGTGGGACTAGCAGTAACAGGAACTGTTTATTGAGCACATATCTCGAGCAAGTCCTTTAGATACAAGACTTCATTTTACCCTTCACATTGAGGTAGGTCCTATTATTATCCCTATTTTGCAGATAAGGAAACTGGGCTCAGAGAGGTTAAGTCATCCGCCCAAGTCACACAGTTTGCAGGTGGCTTAAGGTAAAAAATAATAGCACTCTGATGTTCCTGCCCCGGCGAGGGACTCCTAGAGGGAAGAAGGATGTCGAAATCACAAGATTTCTGTGCTTGGAGAAGCTATGGGAAATCAGAGGAAGGCACCATTTGGGGGAGGTCGAGGGAGATAGGAACATCACAGAGGCCTGAACGGAGGAGCAGGGTCTGGGCAGCCCCAGGTGTGCACAGCAGGCAGGGGAAGAGCCAGAGCAGGAAGTTTGGAGGTGCCTGGTGGTACTTGGGGCCACACACACCGTGGCGGGGAGAGTGGCTACCCAGGGACCATTACTTCCACTCCCCACCCCAACCAGCTCTGAGCTGTGTATCTCAGGGGAGGGCCAGGAAATCGTGATAAAATTATCACCTCTCCCGCTCATTTTTCTAAACAATCCCTCTATTTGCCAAGTCATCCCAGTGACCGTGAGGCCCCAGCACTGTGGCACAGAAGTCAGGCTGGGAGACTTTGGGGCTTGACCAGGCTAGGGGTGGGAATTAGGATGCAGCTGCCCCTGTGGCTTCTAGAAAACCAGCAGCCACATGATCCAGGGCCAAAGGTCAGAGATTGGAAGCCTAAGAGCTTGGTCTGGAAGGAGAGAGGAGAGAGCTGATTCTGGTCCTGTCCTCCCCAAAGAAAGAGCATAACCCATTCCCTTCTGTTGAGCATCTGCTATGTGCCAGGTTGGGGCCGAATCCTTGAAGTACACCAGCTGGTTTACTCCTTCAGCAACCCTGGGAGCAGGGCACCAAGCCTCAGAGAGGTGAAGTAACTTGCCCCAGGTCACACAGCTAGCCAGTGGGAGCTAGGGTTGAACCCAAGTATGTGTAGTTCCTAAACCCACATGTGTGTATGGGTCTATTTGAGGTATTCCCCCGGAGAACCTGCTTGCCAATGAGCACTTTCCCCAGACCAGCTCAATTGCCATCCAGGTCCCCAGAAACATCACCCTCCTACTCCCGAACACACACGTCATACCTTTGTCTGTATGTCCCGCAGCTCACACGCACCTCTCCAGGGCTCTGGCTTCATCCTTTCTTGGAGATGGTGACTTTCATACCTGTCTTCCCACTGAGTCCTACAAGGTATGAATGAACTTTCCTATTCCTGTGTAGGAGCATGGTGGTTGGCTCCTAGGAAGGGTGTGTCAATATTTCTGGAACTGTAAGGAGTCAGAACTGTCTCATTTGTGTCTCTCATGGGGTGAGCCTTGTGCCAGGTATTCATTCAAAGGACATACACTGAGGTTCTGTGTGTCCCATCTAGGCTCTAAACCAGCCCGAGGGATGCCAGGATTAATACTGTTAGTCCCAGTCCTCAAGCAGTTCATGTCCAGTGAAGGACGTGGGAATAACCCCATATCTGGGGGGCCTCGTTCAGAGTTTCCCTGAGAACCTACTGCAGCCCTCACCCCATACTAGATGCTGTGTACACATTACCCTGGGTAACCCAAAGGTAAAATTTCTGTTCTCATCATTGCTATTGCTCAGGTCCCTCAGAAAGGTTAAGTAACTTAACCAAAGTCACACAGCCTGCAAATAAGTCAAGCCCAATTGGGAGATAACTACAACACAGCAGGTGGACAGTGTGTTTATTGCATGAATCTCAGCTCAGGAGGTATATAGTAGTTAAATATTACTAATATACAGTAATTATACTAATGATAACAGAGAATCTAGGGCCTATTCAAGGTCTCCTTTATGTGGGGATCATGACATATATAATTTCATTTAATCTATGCCAGTCTGTGAAATAAGTACCATTATATCCCATTTTGCAAATGAGGAAACTGGAGCAAGACATGAAATCACTTGGCCACAGTCCATAGCTAAGAGAGAGCAGAGCAGGACTCAAGCTGGGATAGTCTTCCTGAGAATCCTGTGCCAGGATCCCAAATGCCACACTGGGCAGTCTGGTGGTGGAGGGATGGGGTGCTGCAGGTTGCTGGGCTGGGGCACTGCTCCCCTCCCCAGGGGCCCAGGGATCTGGCACCTCTGCAGAGCAGGGGGTCAGCGCTGGGGTCCACTTTCTCTTCCGCAGTGGGAGAGGACGACGGGAGCTGCGAGGTGAACGGCCGCCTGTACCAGGACGGGGAGACCTTCCAGCCCAACTGCAGGATCCGCTGCCGCTGCACGGACGGTGGCTTCACCTGTGTGCCACTGTGCAGTGAGGACGTGCGGCTGCCCAGCTGGGACTGCCCTCACCCCCAGAGGGTTGAGGTCCCGGGCAAGTGCTGCCCTGAGTGGGTGTGCAACCAGGGAGCTGGGCCAGGGGTCCAGCCCCTTCCAGCCCAAGGTGAATGCAGGGCTGGCCCCTGCTGGGGGACCACAGACCTGAGGGGGGGACACGGGGTTTCTCTTCTTAGGTGCTAGGACACCTGGGCACATCAGAAGCTGGGAGGGGGCAGTGGCTGAGGAGAGATACAAAAAACATGATTAAAAAGTCACCAGGTCTCTTTAAAACTGGCAAAATGAAGCATCCAATTAAATATATAATTTGTTATCATAAATAATGAAAAATAAAAACTAGGTGGCAGAGTTGGGAGGAGAAGGGGGGGTTAGGATAGCTGAGCCAAAGCCTCACATCGAATAGCAGAGATGGAATATCACAAGCTAGAGGTATGCTATATGATCTATAAGATTAGTATATTTATAATATAGGAGTGCCTATTGACACTATGTATTATTAATTAATTATTTATTTGGGCTTATAAAATAAGAACTAGGTAAGGGGTTATCTCTGGGACCTGAGCCTAGGGATGGGCAGAGACAGAGAAAAGACAGTCACCTCCACTTTAAACTCCGCAGCTTTAAAGATTTGCTGCTGCTATGTTGCTTTTTAAAAATCATTATTATATAACTGTGACTTTTTAAAAAGGACAACAGAAAGAAGGAATTAGGGTCAGACGCCTTGGCTCACGCCTGTAATCCTAGCACTCTGGGAGGCTGAGGCGGGTAGACTGCTTTTGCTCAGGAGTTTGAGACTAGCCTGAGCAAGGGCGAGACCCTGTCTCTACTAAAAAAAGAAAAACTATTTCTATTTCAGGTATTGTGGCAGGCACCTGTAGTCCCAGCTATTCGGGAGGCTGAGGCAAGACGATTGCTTGAGCCCAAGAGTCTAAGGTTGCTCTGAGCTAGGACGCCACAGCACTCTACCCAGGGCCACAAAGTGAGACTCTGCCTCAAAATAAAAGAAGAGGGAATAGGTTCATAAATTCTCCTGTCACACATGAAAGGCAGGAGGGCGTGGTGGTTTAGGTGCACGGAGTCTGCACCAGCCCAGCCACTTCCTCACTTTGTGACGTGGAGAAAACTGCTTAACTTCTCTGTGTCTCAGTTTCTCCATCTGTAAAATGGGGATAATAATAGCACCCACCTCATAGAGTTGTGGTGAGAGCTACATAATTTATTACAAGTAAAGCAGTTATAACACATGTGGACACAGCACCACATCAGCCGCGGCTGATATATCACATTCACTGTGATATATCCACTTCACTGCACAGGAGAATGCCAACGAGTTTACCTATGCATAAAAAGCAGGACAAGAAACTGTATCTCCAATTTGGTCTCCACTAAATGTGTACGTATGTATGTGTATGCACACATGTTGTATCAGGTTTCTTAATGTTGGCACAAGTGACATTCTGTGTAATTCTTTTCTATCTTTTTTTTTTTTTTGAGATAGAGTTGCACTCTGTCACTTGGGTAGAGTGCTGTGATATCATAGCTCACAGCAACCACAAACTCTTGGGCTTGAGCAATCCTTTTGCCTTAGCCTCCCCAGTAGCTGGGAGTACAGGTGCCTACCACAACACTCGGCTAGTTTTTCTACTTTTAGTAGAGAAGAGGTCTTGCTCTTATTCAGGCTGGTCTCGAACTCCTGAGCTCAAGCAATCCACCCACCTTGGCCTCCCAGAGTGCTAGGATTACAGGTGTGAGCCACGGCACCTGCCTCTGGATGAGTAAATCTTGAGGAGGGACGTTCAGCAGCCTAGATGCCAGAGCCACCAGCCCACCAATGGTGGCAATCCAAAATGTCTCCAGATATTGCCAAATGTCCCATGCTAGGGGCAAAATCACTCTTACTTGAGAACCACTGGCATAGCATTAGAAGAAAGGACACCAAAATAGTAACAGAGAATAAGGGGCTTGGGGAGGAGGAAAAGCTAGACCGAGGTGGACTCACCATTATGTTCTAGTCACAGGAACCTTTAGGAAATTTACATAAGAAGAAACAGATCCGGAGAGGAGATTAAGTAACTTGACAGACCTCTGGCAAGTAGGTTGCTTTGGCTGCCAAGCCCTGACTTTATAGTGCTAACTCCTTATTTTCCCCTCAGGATCCCAGTTTTCTGGCCGTGTGGCTCCGCCAACCCCTGGCATCCCCTGCCCAGAATGGAGCACAGCCTGGAGCCCCTGCTCCACCACCTGTGGGCTGGGTGTGGCCACCCGGGTGTCCAACCAGAACCGCTTCTGTCGTCTGGAGACCCAGCGCCGCCTGTGCCTGCCCAGGCCCTGCCCACCTGCCAGGGGCCGCAGCCCACAGCACAGTGCCTTTTAGAGCCAGGCTGGAAATGGAGATGCCATGCCCACCCTGCCTTGTTCCTGGGTTCTGGGTTGATGGCAGAAGTCTCCTGTCCATGCCCGTGGCTGCAGGCAACAAACCAGCTTGGGTCCACACCATCCAGGACCAGGGGGTCAAGAATGTTCACAAGCCACGTAGTTCCCCTGAACCTTGAGACAGAGAGGGGTGCACAACCTAACCCCCCTTCCTAACTCACAGCCTGGGAAGCCAGCCAAGTTTTTCAGTTTTCTGGTCCATTCCCAGACTACACTCAGCCTTTAGCACGCATATGGGGGGGGCTTTCTCCCCAGCTTCCCCTAGGCAGGAGTTGGGCAACCAGTCCCTTCATAATGAGGCTGCAGCAGGGACTGTATTGTACTGGCCATTTTTCTGGGGGTGTGGTGAAGAGGGGGCACACAGATATTCTCAATCTCTTACTTTCTTTCTTGGAGTTTGTAAAATGGTTCCTGAATACAAGCCAAGGTGTGAACTTGTGTGTCAGGCTTATGCTGAGAAAGCCCTCCTCTCCGCTCCTGGGCAGAACTCAGAGGGCTGAATTCTTTGTGACCCTCCCAGGTAAAATCATAAGCTCTGAAGAAAGTCAGAAAAATAGGTTTTCGAGTGATCTGCGGAACCCCTTGTATTAGTAAGAATGAAGGCCACCTCCCCGGGACTAGGAGGCAGAGCCTGAAATAAACCAACCCAAGTGCAGAAGTCTTTTTGAAGTCTAATGTTAACACTGTTTACAAAAAGAAAAAAGCCAACTGTGTAAACTTTACATCCTCCTCTGTGATCTACCTGTGTTTGTTTAAAAATTAAAACTGTGTTTCCATCAGGATCCCACAAAGAAATTAGAAAGGACTCTTAGTTTTTAAACAGGGATTTATTCTTGTTAAACTAATTTTACTGAGGTATAAGGTACATTCCTTTAATACAAAGGATTAAACATGTGGTGTAAAGAGTCTTCGCGAATGTACACCCTCACGTAACCAACACCTCAGCCAAGAGATAAGACATGTCCCTCATCTCAAAACGATCTGCTACCGCCTTCCTGCTTATCATCTCTGCTTCCCAAGCAGAAATCACTATTCTGATTTCTCTCATTGTAGATGAGTTTTTTTGTCCTTGAATTTCACTTAAATAGAACCAGATAGTAGGTACTTTTCTTTCTTTCTTTTTTTTATGGATTTTTTTTTTTTTTTTTTTTTTTTTTTGCAGTTTTTGGCCAAGGCTGGGTTTGAACCCGCCACCTCTAGCATATGGGGCGGCGCCCTACTCCTTTGAGCCACAGGCGCCACCCAGTAGGTACTGTACTTTTTTTTTTTATACAACCCATGAATTCCATTTATTTAAGTGAGCTTTCATTTCTTTTTATTTATTTATTTCGTATTAAATCATTGCTGTGTACATTAATGCAGTCATAAGGTACAATGTGCTGGTTTTATACACAATTTGAAATATTTTCATCAAACTGGTTAACTTGGCCTTCATGGCATTTTCTTAGTTATTGTGTTAAGACCTTTATATTCCACATTTAGTAAGTTTCACATGTACCATTGTAAGATGCACCATAGGTATGGTACCAATTACCCTCCCTCCACTCATCTGCTCCCCTCCTCTCCCCTCCCTTTCCCCATATTCTTGGGCTATAATTGGGTTATATTTCATAGGAAAGCTATATAAATCAGTTTCATAGTAGGACTGAGTACATTCAATAAATGATTTATTTCACTCAACACAATAAAAAAAAAGATATTTAGTGAGGGGATGTAGTTACCGCAGCTGACAGGCCATATAAAGGACTGTGAAATGCAAGAGCAGAAGGTTAATACCAGCCTTGGGGGTGGAAGAGGAGAGGGAGGCAGGCCCTGTACAGAGCTCAGACACTGGACCCAGCAGGCAGAAGATGCAGTCCAAGTGGAGACATCTGCCGGGAGCTGGAGCCACCAAGGGGTCATAGTATTGCGGACAGAACAAGAAGCAAGTGGACATGGGGAGTCATACCTGCTTATCCCCTCTTATATGCCCCAGTTTCGTCACACCTCCCATTAGTCAACTTGCTGTGAAGGAGGAGGGCAAGGGAGCCCAGGAGATGGAGGGCAGGGAGGGGTAAGAGGGCACTGAGAACCACAGCAATTCCCAGTGACAGTGTTTGTGAATGTCTCATGGTTCCACTGATTCCTAATAGTGTAAAATTAACAAAGCACTTAAGTTCCTTGTGCCTCAGTTTCCCTTTCCTTAAAATGGTGACAAATGGTAATACTCAACACAGAGAATGATTCGAGAGTATTATGTGATTTACCTGTACTTTGCCAAGTGTAATGTGATTACCACATGTCCTTCATGTGATCATCACATGATCAAAACTGTGTCCTGGCTTGGCGCCTATAGCTCAACTGGCTGGGGTGCCAGCCACGTACACCTAGGGTGGCGGGTTTGAATCCCCAGCCCGGACCCGCCAAACAACAATGATGGCTGCAACCAAAAAATGGCCAGGCGTTGTGGCGGGCGCCTGTGGTCCCAGCTACTTGGGAGGCGGAGGCAGGAGACTCACTTGAGCCCAGGAGTTGGAGGTTGCTGTGAGCTGTAATGCCACGGCACTCTACCCAGGGGGACAGCTTGAGGCTCTGTCTCAAAAAAAAAAAACACACCAAAAAAAACTGTGTCCTTCATGTGATCACCACGTGTCCTTCACCTGATCATCACATCATCTCCCTCATGAAATCGTCAGGTGTCCTTCATGTGATCACCAGGTTTCTGTTTCCTTCACGTGATGACCATGTTTTCATGTCCTTTACGTGACATGAAAACTTTCCTTGTGTCCTTCATGTGATCTCTGCATGTCTGTGTCCTTCATCTCATCACTACCTGATGATCCCATGATGATAATGTGAAGGACATGTGGATGTCATGTGAAGGACATGTGATTCAGTGGTGATCACGTGATGATCACGTCAAGGATCACAAGTCATTGGTGTGAAGGGCAGGGAGGTCACATGACAATCACCTTGAAGTTATGCTGCAGCCAAGCAAGGGATGCAATTATCGCCTCAAGGTCATGTGACTCTCACAGGAAGGACACATCATGGACTCATAGTCATGTCTCAGTCAGGTAAAGACATCTCCTAGGGCATTGCTATCCCTCCTATCTTGTTTTCAAATAGGGATAGAGATATTTAAATAAAATTGAGTTAATTTTGCAAACAACAATTAGAAGTATTGTAACATTAAAAAAAAAAAAAAAAAACAAAAATAGGGATGGTGAACTCACCTGCTTCCTAAGTGCCATGTTTGGAAGTCATTCTCACCATTTCTGCTTTATGATCATACCAAGCTGCAAGGGACTATGGGAAATGTAGTCTTTAGCTGGGTAGGTATCTTCCTGAGACAACTCTACACTATGGCATGTTTTCAAGGATTAGTGCAAAAAAGTTCTTTTTACCCATCTGTCTAACCAGCTCACCAGGCTAGCCAGTGCTCTCCATTCTGTCTGTATGGATCACTACTGTCCTGGGCATATTGACTTTCATGGCTGTAAGCCACTCTTTGGCCCCTATGTCCTCTTTGGCTCTCTGCCACGAATGGCATACTTGCCAAGTGTCTGTTGGGTTTGTTCCCAAACCAGTTTGCACCAGCCGCACTTGTTACTGTAATGCTGTATTTGAATTAGATATTCCATAACCTGATGAAGTATAAGTGCACAAGAGATTTGTTTTTATCAAAACTCACTAAGGACTAGTTGCTAAAAAGAATACTGCCAAATCAGGTGTGGAAGACACAACTATGAAAATCTGCAAAAAAAGAACCACGATAATCTAGAGGGATTCTGCGCGTAGTTTATGTAAGGAGGGCAAAGTGCAAAGCCAATTGACAGACCCGCCCGTAAAGAATAAATTGGCAAATGGGCACATGTGTGTGCTTTTAGTTGAATAAAAGGTTTAAGGAGTACATCATTGAAAATTCCCTGCTTCTTTGATTAACTGACTAACCTGTGATCCTAACTGAGCTGGATACACTGGCTTCTACAGGATTATTATCCCCATTTTATAGGGAATAAATTGAAGCCCAGGATAATAGCAGAAGCAGAGCCATTATTTGAAACCAGCCAGTCTGGTCTCATGTTTGCGCTCTTACCTTCTGAGGCACAGCGTCCAGTTGAACTTTCCATGACAATGGGGATGGTCTGCTCTGTCCGATGCAGTGGCCACTAGCACACGTGGCCAATGGGTACTTGAAAAGTGGATAGCGGGACTGAATAACTGAAATTTCAATTCAATTAATTGATTTTTAATTGCATAACCGTAAGTGGCCACACATGGCTAGATGCTCGGGTGTGGACAGAGCGTTAGCCCACGCCTTCCTTCTCATCTCAGACTCTTTATTTCTTTGCCTTGATTCTTTCCAGGCCATGACGTCGTCTGAAACACAAGCCCCGCCCTCTTTGATTCAGGCATCTCTGGGTTCTGATACATTATGCTGACTGGGGAAGGGCGGGGTGGACCTTGGCAGGAGGAATGGGGGCAGGCCCCTGTCGGCAGCAGCTGAGCTCAAATTGCCATATGGTAGCAACTGCCATCTGTGCCAGCACCATGCTAAGCTCGTCGCCGGCAGGGAAGTGCTGCTGTTTAGAGCAAGAGCTAGGCAGGCGGCCCCCTCCCCCTTGGCTACAGGACTTTGAACAAATCACTGCATCCTTCTGAGCCTTGGTTTCCTCCTCTGCAGGGTAGGATTAAAAGGGCTTTCTCCACAGTGTCATGAGCATTAAATGAACTGATGCCTGCCTTATCCTTGGGTCACAGTAACTACTCGACAAACATTGTTCGTATTTGCTCTAACTCTCTGGGTCCCCCACACCATATGTTTTGTCTTTCAACGCCCAGAAAATTCTGGGAGACCCCCAAATACTATCCATAACATTCTTTAAATTAGCAACTTTTAATATCTTGCAACCCTATATGGTAATCAGGCTGCCGAAGGACCACAGCTGCCATCTCAAAAGAGCTGGTACCTACTGTCCCCTGAGGTTAAATATAATCCATTGTTTTAGGAGACAGGAGAGAGGGGAGAGAGAGATAGAGATAGAGATATCTTCTCTGAGAAAACACCTGGCCCCTCTGGCCTTCTGGAAAATTACTGAACTATATTCTAAGTACAAAAATCAATCCCTTAAAATGCCAGTAGGCCAAGGAAAGAGGCAGCGTTGAAAAGGGGAGAGAAGAAATTAGCTACTTGGAGAAGGTGCTGACATTTGCTGGGCACAGCTCTACACCGACCACTTCTCACACATCCATTGAATCCTGTTAACAGGAATCCTGTGAGGCAGATATTCCTTCCCCCAGGGAACAGATGAGGAAACCGAGGCTCAGAGAGGTGAAGTCACTTGAGCAAGATGGAAGCAAGGTCTGGCTAACTCTGAAACCCATGTTCTTTCTCAAGCACTGGCCTAAGGTGAGAGATGTATCTCTCTCTCTCTTTCTCCTCCATTTTGAGCCTCCCTGACATTGGAATGACAAGGCCTGAATGGATCACAAAGCTGCCAGAAGATTCTATACTGAGAAGTAACATGAAATGCTTTGAGGAGTGCCCCGCTGGGAACAGGGGTTACCTTTTCTGTAGTCCTCAAAGCTGACCACGTTGGAGCTCTGGAAGAAGGAAACCAGAGGCCTCATTGAGGGGTCAGAGGTGAAACTCTTGCATGATGGGACAGAGGAAAATCACTAGGTCCCCTCACGCCTCCAAAGGAGGAAGGAGGGGAGACGGCAGAGGGAGGGCGACCTGAGGGGGTGCCTTGAGGTGTTGCTGTTTTTGGTGACTGCTTGCTGACAGTTTTCCAAGCTGAGAAACACACATACACAAACTTTAACCTCCTCTGGCTTAAAATAGAGCCACGGAGCCAAAAATGCTACACACAGGGCAGAGTCACCTGCCTGGCAGGGCCAGACAGCTCCCCCACGGTCCCGACAACACCCACCCCCAGTCGGCACAGTCGACAAAACACCTCTCAGCCGAGAATCCTTAGCCCCATCTCAGAGATGAGGAAAGGGAGGATGAGGGAGATGACAGGGGGCCATAAAGCCAGCAACATCTTGCCTAACAAGGATCAGGACCTGGGAGCCAGAAGACCCTGAGCTGAAGGGTCATGACCCAGACAATCCCAGCTAGGCCACCACCTGGCTGGGAGGACTTGGCAAGTCAGGTATCTTCTCTGTGCCTCTGTCTCCTGGGCTGAAAGGTGAGAGCCCCATGAGTGATCTCTGTGAATATGCCCGGCACAGAGGCTTTCGCTTTCCCCCTGCCTCTGAGAAACAAAGTCTTGACATCTGCAGGCAGTTGTGAAAAGAAAGGAAAAATAGCTCCTAGGTAAAGGGTGCCAGGACAGTGGTACAACATAGCTTTTATATTGTCACTGGTCCCATGTGGTGAACATTATCATCACCCCCATTTCTGAGATGGGAATACTGAGGCACAGCGAGTGGAAGTGTTCTGTCCATGGACACCCAGCTAGCAAGTGGAGGGGCTGGGATGTAAACCCAGGTCTTGTTGGTTCCAGCTGTGAAGTGTCCAGACCCTCATTAACTTTCTTGTGAGTGGGCCCTGCCCTTCTGCTAAGAACAGGTCGTGCTCCCAATCCCACTGTCTCCACAGCTCTTCTCAGGCCCCTCTTGGTGTCCTACCCACCCACCCCCCTGAGACTTTTGCCCAGGTTTCTGTCCTCTGAAGTCTGAGCAGAAGTCAGAATATCAAACTTGCTGATGCCATTGCTAAAAATAAGGCTGAAACTGCAGCGCCAGCACCCTCGCCTCCAGTACCCTGTTTCTGGGCCACCCAGCTCCATCCTGCTTCTTTGGGAATGGTGGGGTCTAGCAGGCACTGGGCTCTAATCCTGACTGGTAACCAAGTCAGGGCAGGCGCAGGGTCCGAGGTCCTTATAGGCCTGGGCATCCCTGTTCACTTGTGATATCTATGATAGTGGCCGACGCTTCTGGGCAAACCCTCAAGGCCAAGCGCTGCTGTATGAATCCCCTGTTGCCGCTGTAATGAATTACTCCCAACACAAACTTATTGTCTTCCAGTCCTATAGGCTCAAGCTCTATACAGGGCTATAACGAATGCCTCGGCAGCGCTGCATTTCTTCTGGAGGCTCTAGAGAGGAATCTGTTTCTTTGTCTTTTCCAGATTCCAGAAGGTGCCCAATTTCCTTGTCTTGTGGCCCCTTCCTTCACCTTCAACACCAGCAACACCAGGCTGAGCCCTTCTCAGGTTGCCATCTCTCTCTCACCTCCCTCTTCCAATTATAAGGGTCCTGGTGATGGCCCTGTGTCCACCCAGATGGTCCAAGATAATCTTTTTTTCTGGAGGTCAGCTGATTAGCAACCTTACTCCCCTTTTCATGGAATCGAACACAGTTTGCAGAGGGCGTGGGCATCATTTGGAGGGTGACATCTTCTGCCTCCCCCAGCTCCTTATAAGCTAGGAATTTTTTGCCCCTTTTTACTAATGGAGAAACTGAGACATCCCAAGTTCACACAGTTGGCAAGCAACAGAAGTGAAATATGAACCCAGGCAATTGGGGGCAACGTCCATGCTCTTAAACTCTTTGTGCTGCTGCTGCTCTTTTGTCCTCGTCATTGAGCCTGTGGTCTGTGCCAGGACTGGGTGCTGGGGAGTTAGGGGTGACCGAGATTGGATTCTTGCCTTCAGGCAGGGCCACAGATATGGAATATGTGAATTACATTGCAAGAGGAATGCAAGATGCCAGAGGCCTCCAGGAGCACAAAGGAGGCCACCTGGGCAAAATTCAGGGAAGGAGATGTCCAAGGAAGCTGAAAGCTAAAGAATGAACGGGCTTCGGCCAGCTGTACCTATCGTATACAGACATGATGCTTAATGCATTAATATATGTAAAGCACTTCAACCCAGTGCCTGCCTCCTGGCGGGCATGCAGTAAATGTTGGCTATTGAGCAGAATGGGAGAGGATTGTTCCAGGCAAAGCAGGAGTTTATGCAAAGAGCTGAAGATTGAAGGTGGCTGTGGGGACAGAAGTGGGAGCAGTCACAGGTGTTGGTGAGCAATGCCAAGGCCGCAGCTGAGACTCAGCAAGGCTCAGTGCCCCTGGACCCCACAGATGGTGAGGCCACCTGGTGCTCTGCCCAGAGTCTCCAGGCAGGCCCACCTAGGACTCTGAAAAGGGTATCCCCTTGGTCCTGGGGGCCAGGAGTGGACTCCTCAGGGACTGGGATCAATGGAAGGTTCCCCAAATACCCAGATGCTCAAGTCAAAGGCCCAGAGCCCATCCTCAATCCTCTACTTCACCTGCCACATCCAACCCATCAGCAAGCTCCATGTCTAAGGGTAACACCAGCTGTGGGGATAGATTGACTCCCACACCTTAGGGGTTTAACTCAACAGAACACAAGTTCAAAATGGGTGTTCTTTGGGGACAGGTGGCCACCTGATGTGTTAGACTGGTGCCCAGGCTCCCACCTTTTTCTAAAGACTTTGGGTCTCTGTATTCAGTCTGCAGGGTAGCGGATGGAACTCTGCAAGTGTGTCCGGGGTTCATGGGCCAGGTCTGGAAGTGGCATGTGCCCCATTCCACTGGCAACAGCTTAATCATACGGGCACTCCTGAGTGCAAGGAAGGCTGGGAAATGAGGCTGGCTGAGTGCCAAGCTCCACCTTCCAAGCGCATCCCAGGTCCCTGCACTCCCCTCCAGCTCTAGTGCCATGGGCCAGGCCAGCCTCAGCAGACATTTGGACTATGCTTGTCTCTTAACTGGCCTCTGCTCTGAGCTACCAACCTTTCCCCACATGACAACCAGATGTTTTCTTTTTTTTTTTTTTTTTGAGACAGAGCCTCAAGCTGTCCCCCTGGGTAGAGTGCCGTGGCATTACAGCTCACAGCAACCTCCAACTCCTGGGCTCAAGCGAGTCTCCTGCCTCCGCCTCCCAAGTAGCTGGGACCACAAGCGCCTGCCACAACGCCCGGCTATTTTTTGGTTGTAGCCATCATTGTTGTTTGGCGGGTCCGGGCTGGGGATTCGAACCCGCCACCTTAGATGTACGTGGCTGGCGCCTTAGCCGGTTGAGCTATAGGCGCCGAGCCCAGATGTTTTCTTATTTAAAAAAGAAAAAGTGTATCAGATCATTGTGGTGTTTTGTGTGTGTGTGTGTGTGTGTGTGTGTGTACTTGTGATCCCATTAACAGCCTTTCTGAGGCTTTCAATAAACCTATGTGAGAACCTGTAAGTCCCTATCTTCCCTCTGCTCCCTGCCATGGGCATCACAATTCCCTTGGCTCCAGCCACACCTGCTGCCTTGGTGTTCTCAGCTGCCAAGCCAAGCTGGGCTCTGCTTTTAAGCAGAAACTTGCCCTTGCTGCCTGGATTCTCCCCCACTTCCCCTCACTCCTGGGTGACTTCCCAGACCACCTTAGCTGGAGGTGCCCATCCCTTCCAATAAACCACCCCTTTCCTTCTTTACCATTCTTGTCTTAAATTGCCTTGTGTTAGCCAACCCTGCTTGCTAGGATAGCAGCTGTATTTTCACCAGGAATCTTATTTGCACCAGTGGGAGCATGGTAAATATTTGTCAGGTGACTGAATGAAGGAAGGGGGGAAGGGAGGAAAGGAGGGAGGGAGGAAGGAAGGAAGGAAGGAAGGAAGGAAGGAAGGAAGGAAGGAAGGAAGGAAAGAAAAGGAAGGACGGACGGACGGACTTGGCTGAGGTCACAGCACGAGTTAGTGGCAGACAGGAATTCTGTGGACGTAGGCTTTGGGTTTGCTTCAGATGTCACTGTCTGCAGACACTTTAGTCCCGGCACAGGGGAGGATAAACAAAGCACACCGCGGAGGTGCGACAGGCGGTCCCGGCCGCCCCGCACACCTGCACTGTGCCCGCGCCCAGCCCCGCCCCTGTGTACCCGCAGCCGCCCCGCCCCTCTCCCCGCTGCGGCGTGGGGCGAGCCGGGCCGACCCAGCGCACTGCCGTCGGGGCGCAAGGAACCGGCCTCGGGGCTCGTGGGTCGCGGCTCGGAGCCCGGCGGGTCCCGGGCGCCACTATGAGGAAGCAGAGCGCGCGGACGGCCGCGCTCATCCTGTGCATCCTGTCCTACCTGCTGGTGGGCGCCGCCGTCTTCGACGCGCTCGAGTCCGAGGCGGAGAGGGGCCGCCAGCGGCTGCTGGCCCAGAAGCGCGGCGAGTTCCGGAGGAAGTACGGCTTCTCGGCCGAGGATTACCGCGAGCTGGAGCGCCTGGCGCGGCAGGCCGAACCGCACCGTGCCGGCCGCCAGTGGAAGTTCGCCGGCTCCTTCTACTTCGCCATCACCGTCATCACCACCATCGGTGAGCCGCGCCGGCGCCTCCCCTCCGCGCTCGCTCCGTGCCGAACCGCCCGGCGCCTCTGGGTTGCAGTCCCACCTCTGCCCCTGCCCAGCTGAGTGACTTTGAACAGTCGTTTCGGCTCCCCAAGCCTCTGCAGAATGGGGCCGGAAGGAGTCAGTAAGTTAAGTTTGCCAAGAGGCTGACCCGGGAGTACACAGAGAATGTCCCAGGGGCTTGGCGACAGATGAAGTGGGGCTGGAAGATCAAGTGGCTGGAGTCGTCTCTTGGCTACTTGCCTCTAGTTAGCTGTGTGACCGTAGACAAGTTACTTAACCTCTCTGAGCCACAGTTTTCTCTGTAAAATAAGAGTGCTAATAAGTCTTAGGGCAGTGGTAAGAACATTGTTATGAAATAGATAATATACGCAGAAACTTTTAGCATGGGGCCTGACACATGGAGAGCTGTAAAAAAAAAAAAAGATTGATTTTTGTATTATAATGGTGATTATTTTGTTATGTCAAGAAAATGAGGTCCTGGTCTGTTTTAGTTATTGCTGAATGGCCAGTGCCTGGCCTGTTAATATGCTCAATAAATATTTGTTAAAGGAATGACAGATTACCGCAGCTTTGGACCTCATCCTCAGGGATCCAGGGAAGTTCCTCCTCAGCATCTGGACCACCAGCTGTTGCCATGACTACCGTCTGGCTGGTACCTGCCGAACCGAAGCCTGAGGTCACAGGAAAGGAGAGAAACAGGCTCTGCAGGGCTCCAGGCTTGGTGCCAAGCCACACTCCCCAGGCTCTCGCTGTAGATATCCAGGCAATCCCAGGGTCCGGGACTAGCCTGGAAGCTTGCACCTTGGAGAAAGTTTCTCCATAACACCCTTGCTACTGAATGTGAGCTGTGGGATTTGCGGTGGAGTTAAAAGCACAAGTTCTGCAATTGCCTAGACTGCAGTTCTTTTTTTTTTTTTTTTTTTTTTTTTGAGACAGAGCCTCAAGCTGTCCCCCTGGGTAGAGTGCCGTGGCATTACAGCTCACAGCAACCTCCAACTCCTGGGCTCAAGCGAGTCTCCTGCCTCCGCCTCCCAAGTAGCTGGGACCACAGGCGCCCGCCACAACGCCCGGCTATTTTTTGGTTGCAGCCATCATTGTTGTTTGGCGGTCCGGGCTGGGGATTCGAACCCGCCACCTTAGGTGTACGTGGCTGGCGCTTTAGCCGGTTGAGCCATAGGCGCCGAGCCTAGACTGCAGTTCTTTTTTCATCTCTATTGCCACATGCCTTCTCCAGCAATTGATTGTACCTGTCTGAGCCCTGGTTTCCTCAAAGGCAAAATGCAATTGTTCCTACCTCATTGGGTGGTTGCCAGGTTTAAATGAGGTCAAGCATGGAAAATGGTTGGCCCAGTCCCTGTGGCTGAATAGGCACATTAAGTAGTAATAATAATTCATTATTTGTCAACTGTGGCCCTAAGTCTCATTCAGCCATTTTGTCCCTTCCTGTCTACGTGGACACCCCTGTATTCCTAGCTTGGCTTAGCCTGAGACCCTCCCTGTCACTGTGACCACTGATATGGGATTCCACCCACCTCGTGCATCTTCCCTATTCTTTTGAGGCCTCCCAGATAGGTTTGGTCTACTCCCTCTCCTGACCCTTCCCTTCTGACAAGCATCTTGGAGCCTGGATGGAGTAGAGTAAGGATTCAAAGAATAAAACAAGAGTTTTGGCTTTTCTTGGGGGCGCCACTACCCCACTTGGGGGCACCACTACCTGCTATACAGTCCACCAGTTTAAACCAGTCCTTTTTTTTTTTTCTTTCTTTCTTTCTTTTTTTTTTTTTAAGAGACAGAGTCTCATTTTGTGGCCCTCGGTAGAGTGCCAGGGCGTCACAGGTCAGAGCAACCTCCAACTCTTGGGCTCAAGCGATTCTCTTGCCCCAGCCTCCCAAGTAGCTGGGACTACAGGTGCCCACCACAACACCTGGCTATTTTTTGGTTGCAGCTGTCATTATTGTTTTAGCTGGCCAGGACAGGGTTGGAACCCACCAACCTCGGTGCACGTGGCTGGCATTGTAACCACGGTGCTAGCAGTGCTGAGCCTGTTTAAGCCAGTCTTGTGGAGAGCCCGGGGCCAGGACCCAGGAGTTTGAGTTGTGGTTAGCTGGAAGTGTGGCACTAAGAAGCAATGAGGATAGTGGTTATTAGCTCAGGCCCTGTGACCTTTGGGCAGCTTCCTCCCTGTGAACTTAGTTTCCTCATCTGTAAGATGGGGGATAATATCTCATACAGTCATTGAGAGAGTTAAATAAGATAATCTATGTAGGGCGGCGCCTGAGGATGACGGGTTCGAACCCAGCCCTGGCCAAACTGCAACAAAAAATAGCTGGGCGTTCTGGCGGGTGTTACTTGGGAGGCTGAGAATCACCTAAGCCCAGGAGTTGGAGGTTGCTGTGAGCTGTGACGTTACAGCACTCTACCGAGGGTGATAAAGTGAGATTATGTCTTTAAAAAAAAAAAAGAAAGAAAGAAAAAAGATCATCTATGTGAAGTACCTACTATGTTTAGTTATTATCATTGTTCATTTCACCCTCTGCCAAAACCTGTCAGCCCTAAACAGCTAGAAACAGCACTTCCTGGCTTCTTCTTCTTAAAGAGGCCCCTGTCTGTCTCACACTAGTGCCCTTTCAGCTTAGTATGATTCAGGAAACTGTCACAGAGCCTGTAGTTTGTGTCAGGCTCTGTAAAGGGCACTGGTGATTGGGGCCATAGAGAAGTGACCACCATAGTCCCTGCCCTCAAAGAACTCAAAGTCTTCTGATGGGCACATCCACCCCCCACTCTGGCCTGCTAAATAATAGGGACCATGCAATCAAAATGTGGACGTGGAGCCATAGGTCTTTAAGTACAGAGGGTGCCAAAAAAATGTATACAACATATTAAGAAAGGAAAAAGCTACTACAATTGTAGTCATATATACCAATAACAAAAGATGAATGCAGTCACGTTTGACTCCTGCAGTTACAAGAGGAGCTCAGAGTATATATGTAATATAAGGTATAATACATAGGTAACATCTCTTATAATGCATAGACATTTTTTGGCAACCCTGATATATCTACTGGGCTGATATGAATGTTATACAGGGTGGCCATAAAGTTCCTGTGCAATTTAAAATTGTGTGCATGTAGCACACACTTCACTGGGTACAAAAGGGTTTGGGATGCAAAGGAATTCTCCCATCCTGTCTCTCAGCTCATAAATTCCTTTCCCTGGATCAAATACACTTACCAGTTTCTCAACCTTCCAGATATATTCTCTCTCTCTCTTTATATATGAAATATGTATATAGATGCATGATATATAGACATTATATTACACACACTGTTTTGCCTCTTGCTTTTTTTCACTTAATATATTTCAGTGATGTTTTTATATCAGTTCCTAAAAAGCTGCATCCTCCTTTTCATGGCTTTTAGCAGAGTTTCTCATCCTGGGAACTCCTGACATTATGGGCTATGGCGGGTAGTCCTGTGTATTGAGAGATGTTTAGTACTATCCCTAGCCTCTGCACCCCTTTTTGTGACAAACACAATGTCTCTAGATATTGCCATTCCCTCCAGGGCACAACCACTCCCAGTGGAGAACTGCTGCTGTGTAGTATTCCATCATTTGGATGAATGATAATTTATTTAACCAGGTTGACTGACACTGGGGTTGTTGCTCACATTTGCTATGAACAACTGTGCTGCATTGATGACCCATGTGCACAGACATTTTGCACATGTGTGTGTATATTGGAGCTAACTACTTCTTCTTTTTTTTTGAGACAGAGCCTCAAGCTGTTGCCCTGGGTAGAGTGCTCTGATATCACAGCTCACAGCAACCTCTAGCTCCTGGGTTTAAGGGATTCTCTTGCCTCGGCCTCCCAAGAAGCTGGGACTTACAGGTGCCCGCCACAATGCCTGGCTCTTTTTTGGTTGTAGTTGTCATTGTCGTTTGGCAGGTTTGGGCTGGATTCCAACCCACCAGCTCTGGTTATGGCTGGCGCCTTAGCCACTTAAGCTACAGGCGCCAAGTCTGGAGCTAATTTCTTAACTGTGGAATTTCACAGGTCAAAGGGTTTATATATTTTAATTTTTTGATAGATGGGGCCAATTTGCTAGAGGAGGTATATTCTGTTGGGGAAGATCTACCTGACTCTTCCTGGGGTATGGGCCCCTTGGAGAACGTCATGGAAGCTATTGCTCTTCTCCCCAGGAAAAGGCACATGTCCACTGACTCCTGGGTAATAGCACCATGTTTCAGGACTGGAGGAAGCCATCGTGTTTACATTCCTACAGTGAGGGGACCCAGTAAAGAATCAGCACACCAAACTGAGCCAGAACCAAGAGGTGTTTGGCAAGAGCTGGCTGAATGGTAGAAGGGGAGGGGAGAACAGGACAATCCAGGGGAGGAAAAAAACTTAAGGCCTGTGGAGGTGGGACAGTGCAGGTTGGAGAAACAGCCAGGGGTGTTGCTGGAATGTGGGATGTAAGGAGAAGGGGGTGAAACTGGGGAGGTGGGAGGTTTTCAGGATAGAGCTTGGACACCATGTGAGAACGGGGACTTTCCTGTGGACACTGGGAAAGCATGAAAGGTTTTGTTTTATTTTTCAAGGCATAATTTACATACAGCGAAATTCACCACTTTTTTTCAGTTATACATTTCTGTGAGTTCTGATAAATGAATACCTGTTGCTTAACTGCAGCCATGACCAAGACATTTCCATCCCCCAAAATTCTGTCATGCAACTCACAGGGAGATAACCTCTCCCCCAGACGCGATGATTGGCAACCACAGATTTGTTCTCTGTCCCCATCGTTTTGCCATTTTCCGAATGTCATTTAAATGGAACCCTGCAGCAGGTAGCCCTTTGAGTTTCCACTTGGCATAATATATTTGAGATCTGCCCTTTGTTGCTGCAAATTAAGAGTAGTTCATCCTTTCTGTTGCTGAAAAGGGTGCCATTGTTTAGATGTAAAGTAGGTGAGGGAGATTTTGCTAGTTTTCAGTTTGGGGACGATTATGAATAGCCACGCAGGGTTTTAAAGCCGAGGAATGACCCAGATAGAACTAGTATTTGAAGACGCTCTGCCAGGGGCTGAGGATGGGGCGGGGCACCAGGCAAGCAGGCTGGATGTTGTAAGATGGAGCTGGACACTCACTAGCGGTCCCCTCCGCTCTCCCCGCACAGGGTACGGCCACGCCGCGCCGGGCACGGACTCGGGCAAGGTCTTCTGCATGTTCTATGCGCTGCTGGGCATCCCCCTGACGCTGGTCACCTTCCAGAGCCTGGGCGAGCGGCTGAACGCGCTGGTGTGGCGCCTCCTGCTGGCGGCCAAGCGCTGCCTGGGCCTGCGGCGGCCGCGCGTGTCCACCCAGAACATGGTGGTGGCCGGGCTGCTGGCGTGCGTCGCCACCCTGGCGCTCGGGGCCGCCGCTTTCGCGCACTTCGAGGGCTGGACCTTCTTCCACGCCTACTATTACTGCTTCATCACCCTCACCACCATCGGCTTCGGCGACTTTGTGGCGCTGCAGAGCGACGAGGCGCTGCAAAGGAAGCCACCCTACGTGGCCTTCAGCTTCCTCTACATCCTCTTGGGGCTCACGGTCATCGGCGCCTTCCTCAACCTGGTGGTACTGCGCTTCCTCGCAGCCAGCGCCGACCTGCCCCAGCGCGCTGCCGGCCGCGCCAGCTTGCGCCGCCTGGGGGCGCCCGGGAGCAGCGGCCTCGCGCGGCCCGGCAGCCCGCCCCACCCCGGGGGCTCCGCCTCAGTCTCCCACCGTGTGCATCAGCTGGAGACATGCGCCCGCGACAATCTGGGCTTCTCGCCCCCCTCGAGCCCTGAGACCGGGCGCAGCGGCGGCGAGACAGATCCGCCCCGAGCCCGGCGGAGGTCCATCTGACAGCTCTGGGCCGGAGTTGGACCTGGAATGGCAGGGATCGCCTTCATCTGCCTGTGCACCCTCCCCGGGGCTTGCTGGAGGGAGGGTGAGGGGCCTCAGTGCTGTCTTCCACCACAAGCAGCTTCTCATCATCTTCTGTGGCTAGTCCCCTCCCTCCTCTCCAAAAATATACCGAAGTCGCATCATAAGCACAAGCCAGGCTCTACAGCCACCCTGCAGGAGCAAATCCCTTGTAGTCCAGTGTGTAGGAAACAGTGGCCACATCAACACCCAGGAGAAGCTCTGTGCAGGTCCATGTCACCAGCTGGCCTTTCAGAGCAACTTTTCTGTACGAAGAGGCTGTTTTCCGTGTTGTAGGAGAAATGCACAACTCTCAACCGTGGAATCCTCACCAGAATGGGTGAGGCCAGATACACTGCAAGCCCTGGGAACAGAGATGGCCAAAGGCCCTGCCCATGGTCCTGTGTGGACAAGTTAGCCAGCCTCTGCATTGTTTAAGCCATCTCTTGTCCTCTGTGCCTAGTGTGTGGTGTGGAACTGGCTCACATGAACTTGGACACAGCCAAATACTGTGATATAAGCTCTTGATCACCAGCAATGTGACCTTGGGGGATTGCATCCCCTCCCCGGGCTCAGTTTCCACATCTGTAAAGTGGGCTCATTCAGAATCCCTGCCCCTCTTCTGCATCTCTGGCAGGGCTTTCTGGAACAGGCCCTTGTACCACAGGGGGGCATTAACAAAGCCCATGGAGCGGTGCCCTAGAATCCTGTCACACTCAGCCCCTTAAAGCACCAACTTCCCTTAGCTTCCCAGCTAGAACTGTTTCAACCCAAAGCAAGAGCAAGTCAGGTTAGAAAAGCCAAAAACTTTTAATTTTCAACATGAGCTACATGGTCATGAACACAATGCAATGTGACCCACTGCAACCCAGGGGCCCTGAAAACCCTCCCTCCCAAAAGGCCTGGGCAGCTCCTGCTCCCCAAGAGGGAATGAGGGGAAAGGTGGGTGGATGGAGAGAGGCCCCCAGCTTGAGGACCCAGGGCCCTGCCTTCCCACCACCCCCTCAGGAGGCAGCCATCGAGGGAACTGGCTCCAGAGGCAATGCCTGTAGCCCTGGGTTCAAGTCTCCACTTTGTCCTCACAGCAGCTCTGGGTAAAAAGGGTACCACCAGCCCACCTCATGGGGGTTGAGTGTTGGGAGCTCGTGGACACCTTCTGTCCACTCTGAAGTGCTGCTCTACAGATGCGGGGCCCTCCCAGAGGGCCTTGGAATCACTACAGAGGAATAAGCTCAGTCCCCTGGGCCTGGCACTGCTGCTGCTCAATAAATAAATGCAGGTGACCTTGCCTGATGCAACAGCTGTGCCTCCAAAGAGGACGAGACTTGGTGCTGTTTCTGATGCTGAAATGCACCCAGGAGCTCCTGATTTAAATGGTATAGTCAGCCAGCTTAAAGAAAGCACAACCACCCAGGACACTATCCCCTTCACCTCCCTGTACAGAAGAGCCCTGAAGGGCTGACAAACTGAGTTCCAGGCCTGGCTCAGCCACTGACTTGTCTAAGTGGGACTTCAGGCAAGCACCTCCCCGCCCAGGCCCTCAACTCCTCTCTTTAAAATGGGGCTGACAGCAAAGGCCCTCCCCTACTACCCAGGGGCTCTTGTGAGGGCCCAAGGCCACACTCAAGGTAAAAGCACTCTGAAAACAAAAGTCTGAAAAGCACTAGGGGAGGGCTAGGACTCATTACACCCGAAGGTTTGGGAGGACGTCCCCAGGCTGAGGAGCACCATGCTGCCCCTTGGTGCTCCCAGCCACAGGAAGGAGCTTAACTCTCCCTCCAGTTGGTCCCAGACAGGGTACAGCCCCTCAGCAAGATTCTCCATCCAGACGGCAAGGCCTGGATCAAATCCTACAGACCCTCAGTCAGCTGGGCAAGACCCCCAGGACAGCTTGGTCTTCCTGGCAATCCCTTCCCAAACTCAAGCCCAGAAGTTACTGCCGTGAAGGTAACATGTCTTCCTGTCACCTGAAGTACGAGCCATGGAGTCCTACTTCTGTCCACTCTGTTGCACACTTGCTGAGGGGTCTCGGCTGAGTTTCTTCCTGTTTCTGGGCCCCAGTTTCCTAACCTTTCTGATGGGCTAGAACTTGCCCTGCCCATGTTCTCAGGCCACTAGGAGGTGCCTAAGTGAAGGGAGGAGGAAGTGTGGGTAGGGGTGTCCCTACCTCCACCTGCCTGGAGACCCAGGTGGGGGTGCCACTGAATGCACTGGTGGCCCCAGGGATGGCTCCTCCCCGGTGCTGTGGCTTCGCCTCCTTGTTTGTAAAATGAAGATGGATTAATGAGCCCAAAGGCCCCTTCCCTTTAGTATGAAGGGGATGCTGGAGACGGAAAGTGGAAATGGTTCCCTCCCATGGTACCTCTGTGCGTGATCTTGGCCTAGAGATTGAAAATAAAATCATCCCCTAGAGACCCCTAGGCCCCAAACTCCACCCTCTCTGCTGCTGCCTGAATGATGCGATTTGAGCTGGCAAAGGATCAGACAACAGCAGGGACAGACTGGGCTGGGCTTGAAGTTTCCCCAAAGCTAATGAAAATGTCACTTCCCTCCCCAAACCCCCATCCCTTGATGAGGACAGATGGTGGTTCCCACACCTGATGGTCACAGCCCCGTCTAAAGGAGGGCTTGTGCTCACAATGATGACAGAAAGAAATAGGGCTCCAGCCCCAGCCACCCCACCCCTCCAGGAGGTGAGTGAGATTTCACAGAACAAACAAGAAAATCATTGAGGGGGCCCTTGCTGACCACCCCCAGGGTGTTATTGCTTCGGAGCTTTCTCTCTCTTTGTAAAGGCTGTGTGGCCATCAGAGGGTGGGCTCAGGCTGCCAGGGCCGAGCCCTCTCTCCCTCTGGCTGGGACAGCCAGCCTCTGCCCTATCTTTAAAAAGCTACCCCTGAACAACCATAGCAGTGCCGGCTGGAGAGAGAAGTCGCTTTCCTGACTCAAAATATTCTAAATGGTGAGTAATAAACAAACAGCAGAGAAATCACACTGGTTAAAAACACAAATGGGGGAGGGGCTGATTCCACCCAGAGCCCTGCTCCCAGCTGCCCCCCAGCCTTGGGATCCTGGATAGGAGGGGCCGCTGCAATTCCTCTTCCCAGTGCAGCATAAGACGCTCCAAGGAGGCGCTGTAACTCTCCGCCAGGGCTTTAAAGCATACCCGGGGCTGAAACAAGCCAGGGGCAGGAAAGTTTCTAGGTGGAAGGAATTGCCTGGTAGGACCAATAACAGGGTGAGACCGAAGACAGCCTGGGTGGCCTCAGTGGAAAATGACACCTTCTAGTGAAGACCAGGCCCCCTCTGCCAAGGCCCCACAATCATAAGGAGTGCCTTGTAAAGAAAGTCAGGACCAAGGATAATAAATTAGAACATGATTCTAATGGGCAACTCCAGCTACTGCCCTATGGGGATAGGGAAAGAAGGGGGGAGGGCAGGAGGGGCTGGCCGCCGCAGACCCAGGCCAGCAAGGAGACAGTGGTCTCCTGGAATGTTCTTGTGTCTCCTCCCCACCTGACCTGGGACTCTGTAAAGACTATGTATGAGCTAAGAACAGGCCCCAAGGCTTGGAACACTAACTCTACCCAGCTAACCTGGACTACGCCCTACACAGCAGGGACTAGGTACAGAGGAGTGGTAGGCTGCTGGGTGCCTCCCAGGGGAGGTTGGCAGAAATGTGCTTCTATAAAGAGGGGCCAGCTTATATCCTCCCTTGCATGCAAAAGGGCTCCCACAGACCTCAGGGAGGGCCAGGCTGGGAAGGCAGCAACCCAGGCCTGCTTGGGAAGGAATCTCCCAATTTTTACACTCAAACCTCCTCATCTTTCTCTCCTACCACCATCTTTCCTTGAGCCAAGGTATTGAGGCCGAGGCAGTGGGTTCTGCCCTTAGTACAGAATGGTTAGTTAAAAAAGACTAAAATATGGGGGGCTCTATTGCCTCCCCAGGCCCCTAGCCTGGAGGCAGAGGGGTAGACAAGATAACCTTTGACCTCATCCAACAAGGAGCGGTTCTCCTATTTGGGAAACCCTTACCCTGGCACCACCAGTCCTAATCTCAGCTTTCCTCAGCCTCCCCCTCCAACCCAACATCCTGTAAATGCAGAGACAGCGAGCTCTCTAGGCTTGGAGTTCTGGAAACTTGGGGTCACACAGCTTCTCCACCAAAACACCGATGACAGTGTTCTTTCCAGACCACCAACAGTTCTCAAACTAGCCTGTTGCAATCCCATAGAGCAAGGCACCCTGGGGGTCTGTGCCAGGCCCCGAGTACTCCTCCTTTCTTTTGATCCCTGCTGGACCCCAAGTCCTAGAGCCACCAGAAGAGGAGCAGGCAGGAGGGGATGGACAGATGGACTCGGACAGGCTGCGGCAAAGCTCCTTCTATGGGCAGGCAGAAGGAAGCCCGAGCTCCTCTTCAGTGGGGGGCTCCGAGCCTCTGGGAGCTGGCTCCGGATCCTTGCAAAGCTGCCCCGACAGCTCTGGGGCAGGAGTAGCTGCCTGAACCCGGTGCCGCAGGAAAGACACTTGCTGGTAATTGGCACCATGGAGATGGCCGGCCGGGTTCTGGACTTGGCTCCGGGCAGCGAGCTTCCGAGGAGGCAAAAAGGGGGAGAAGTGAACAGTGTTTGGGGCAGGAGAGTGGTTTGCTCTGCCACCTCAGTCTCTCCTTTCTCCAGATTGCAGCCATATCCACCAGGTCAAGAACTGGCCCAGTCAAAAGTATAGCCAATCCCGTTGGGAGAGGGAAGGTCTCAGGGAGTAGGAGGCAAAGAAGGGGTGAGGAGGGGCCCAAGGGGGGCAGGTCTCCCCATTCTGCTTCCCCACTGTGGGGGAGAACCCCGTCCTCCTGTCCAGTGTGCCCCTGGGCCTGGGGTCCAGATCAGGGCTGGGCGGTCCCCAGGCCCTTTTGGGGAGACCCTCTCCATCCTCAGCACTAAGATCGTTCTCCGCAGGGCCCCACGGTGCTCTCCAGGGACAACTGAGATGCCTGCCGGAGCAGGGGGCCCGTGGCTGGGTCCACCATGGAGGAGGTGGGGAAGAGCTTGTACCAGCCCACGGCCAGGGTGGTCAAGTCCAGCTCCTCCAGCAGCACACGTGCCACGCCCATGAACTGCTTCCGCTCCATCCTCCCGTAGTTCCCCCACACGATCACCTGTGGGCAACAGACACAGCGGTTCAAATTCTGCCAATAATACTCACAGGCCCAGAATTAGAGCCTGGGGTTGCCCCATGTCCCGTTTATCTGAGTCCTGTGAATTCTACTTCCATAAAATTGCTCAAACCCTACTGTATTTTCTCTGCTTCAGTGCTAGGGATTTCTTGTCCAGGTGACTGGCTTCCAGCCTCAGGATCTTGCCCTCTCCGCTCCACCCTCCACATGCCCCATCTCTGAACCCAGGCCTGACCCTACACGGTAAGTTCCTTGACCATTCTCCCACAGACCCTCTGATTCCAGATCCTCAGAAACCCGCTGGGCCTTCCGCAGTTCCTGATCAACTAGTTCCTGGTCTTGGAGCTACCCAATGGACAGCCTCTGTGGCTGTGGCACCCTCATTTATTATTCTGCGTCTCAGCAGCTCCTAACTTCACCGGCAACTGCTCTGCGCAGGCAGCTGGCTCATTCAGGAGAGTCTGGTGGCTTCATGCATAGCCTTTGGAGTCAGACATATGGAGGTTCAAATCTCAGCTCTGCCGCTTACTGGAATATGTGGTTCTGGGAGAGTCATTTAACCTCACTGAGCCTCAGTGTCCTGAGTAGCGATCCCTGCTCAGCTTACCTTCCTGAAAGCTGTTGGCTGCTCCTCAAGAACACAGGGAACATTAAAACAGGGGCTGACATTATTATCATTTGCTATACCAGGAACTGCTCTGTGGCAAAACTTCCCAACAACCCTCCAAAAAAATGATCTGATTTCACAGCTGCTTAAACCCAGGCTCAGAGACATCAAGTCATTTGCCTCGGATCACTCAACTAGTAAGTCTTCTGTGGTCCTTACGCACTTATCAGAAACTCACTTCTAGAGCATGGATGATTCCTTCTCACTGGTGTTAGGGGCTAAACTGTGTTCCTCCAAAATTTGTATGTTGAAGCCCTAAGCCCCAGTACCCCAGAATGCAGCTGAACTTGGAGATAAGGCCTTTAAAGAGGTGATTAAGTTAAAACGAAGCTGTTTGGGTGGGCCCTAATCCAGTCTGACTGGTGTCCTTATGAAAGGAGGAAACTTAGACAAACAGAGACACTAGGAACATCACTCATAGGTCTGTCCTGCTCTGGGTAGAGCACCCAGCTTCAGGGACCCCATCTCTGTCTTCCATTTCCCCACCCCTTGCAGGCACAGGCACCGAATTTTCCCTAAAGATGTGGGGGCCTGGCTCAGCGCCTGTGGCTCAAGCGGCTAAGGCACCAGCCACATACACCTGAGCTGGTGGGTTCGAATCCAGCCTGGGCCTGCCAAACAACAATCATGGCTGCAACCAAAAAATAGCCAGGCATTGTGGCAGGCACCTGTAGTCCCAGCTACTTGGGAGGCTGAGGCAGGAGACTCGCTTGAGCCCAGGAGTTGGAGGTTGCTGTGAGCTGTGATGCCACAGCACTCTATCCAGGGGGACAGCTTGAGGCTCTGTCTCAAAAAAAAAAAAAAGATGTGGGGGCCAGAGTGCACAAGCCAGATGGGGCCCCCAGGTGGTCTTCTGATTATATTAAATGGTGTCTGAATACTCTAGAGGAGTGGCGTTCTCCCCAACATTTCTCACAAGGCTATACAGGAAAACGTCAACCACGCCCGCCCAGAGAGCACGTGCAATGCATAATGGAAGGAAGTCCCCCAACAAACAATATTCACCTTGCTAACAGTGATAAATGTTTTCTTTCCTATTCCATTAAAAATAAAAAAGCTTGTTGAGACCTACTAAAGAGATTTCATAACTTACTAGTGGGTCTCAACCTATAGGTCAAAAACTCTGCCCTATACCTTTTGACTGTGGGACATAACTACAAGAGGGACTCTGCCTGACGAATTCAAATATTTTGACCTAGGTGTTTATACCCTCACATTAACCTAAAATAAAAATAAAAATAAAAAAGCAAAGAGAAAAGAAAAACTCTGCCCTAGACAGGAGCTGGGCTTCCCAGTTTGGCAGAGTCCCTGACTGTCTTGGCAACCTGTAATACTCACACCCTACTCTCAGTTGCTTTCCCTGCCTCTGTTGGATGCAAGAATTAAGGTGCACGCCAGAAGGACCAAGAGGCAGCTGAGAGAGTGAGCTCATGGCTTCTGTGGGCATTTGACACTGGCCCTGCCTGCTCCCAGGATGGGCAGCTGCTTCTAGCCCCAGGCTTGGGTAAACACTAGAATCTTCCCTAATGACTGGAGCCAAACACCTCTGTGGGGTCCTCAATGGGTCCCAAGCTAGTATCACTGTACTCTAGGCCAAGCTCTGATCTTTAGAGGTTGATGATGATGATGGTGATAGCCACTGGCAGGACTCTTACTACATGCCAAACTTGCACAAATACTGCACAAAGCACACATTCCACTGTCATGGTGATGCTATCAGGCAGAGGCAAATAATATCCCCACTTTACTGATAAAGAAACTGAGGCTCGGCTCGGCACCCCTAGCTGAGTGGTTAGGGCATCAGCCACATACACCAAGGCAGCCGTGTTCAAACTCGGCGCAGGCCCACTAAACAACAATGACAGCTGCAACAAAAAAATAGCCAGACATTGTGCCAGGCACCTGTAGTCCCAGCTACTTGGGAGGCAGAGGCAAGAGAATTGCTTAAGCCCAAGAGTTTGAGGTTGCTGTGAGCTGTGATGCTATGGCACTTTACTGAGGGCAACATAGTGAGACTCTTTCAAAAAAAGAAAAAAGAAAAGAAACTGAGGCTCAGAAGGGAACTTGTTCAAAGTTGTAAAGTAAGTTGTGGAGCTCAGATTGCCCATAGTGCCTATTTTCTCCTGGTGACGCCCTCCAGAGACCCTTCCCAAGGGTGCCCCCCGATTCTAGTATTGCATGCATGCGCGCACACACACACGTCAGAGCCCCTCACCTGCAGGACTTTGCCCTGGGGACTCTCAGGAAACAGCAGCACCTGGTTATACAGTGGGTCCAGCGACTTGCGAGCGACTTTGGTCTTCTTCTTGGCAATGCAGACACCATTCTCTAGCAGGTAGGCCTTGATGTAGGCCGCTGGGGAGAGAGGCCAATGGGGGTAAGTTCTAGTCTGGCTTCTCAATGGGCACAAAAAAGCGAGGCTGCCCAGCTATTGCCTGGGAACAGAAGTGGCTCCATGGGGTCTGGAGAGGATACAACAGGAGCAGGTGGGAGTGGTGGTGGGGGGGCAGATGCAGCTAGGGTTAGGTGGGGCCCACGTCACTTCCTCTGCTGGTCCAGACCAACACCTTCCCCCTTCCTTTGCCCTCTCTGAGCTTGCCTGCTTCCTGTCTCAAACCATGGCTCATCCACCCCGTGCTTGGCTTGTACACTCAATTGGTAACCCGATCACTTCACAGGTTCTTGCTGTGTGTCCACCCCATGCCAAGTACCCCGTTCGGCACTAGGGTACAACGTTAAATAGAAAAGATGACCCTGCCTTCCTGCTCAGTCTAGTGGGGGAGACCAACACTGTCAACAGATCATCACAACTACGGCCCCAAACAAACCCCAAAATACCTGAATCGGGAGGGGGTGGGGGGGAATGTCCTATACAGTTGAGGCACAATTTTTTCTTTTCTAGACCCTAAATACCCCTCAGGATATCCTCCCTAACCACCTCCAGCCCTGCCTTGCAGAGGGGGGTCCCAAACCTGGCAGTGTCTTGGAGCCTGGCTTGGCTGTCAGTCCCCGAGCCTGGATGATGTCCACTTCTAGCTGACCATTCCGTTCCTGCAAGCCAATTTCCACGTCCCCTACAAGAGGCCCCAAGAGATGAGACTGGGAAATGGTTCAGAAGCTCACGTAAGGATTCAGACTCTCCTTCTACTTGGGGATGAAAACTCCTTCCCCATACCCAGCCCCAAATAAGACCAGAACCAGCTCCCACCCCAGGGGCCTGCTATGGGCTTAGCAGTGTGTACTGAGCTCCACACTGGATACTCAGAAGATGTATCAGTAGGCAGAGGGGCAGGGGAGAGAGACAGACCCTGGGCCCTCCCCACCTCCATCCAGTCCCTGTGGAACAGGCCTTGGGGCACTCACCCATGGGTGTGGTGGCCAGGGTCTGGCGGCCCACAAACTGTGCTGGCCCCATGCTGCCCAGGAAGTCACTGAATTGTGCATCTGATGCCAGGCAAACTCCTCCATAGTTAAGGCTGCAAGAAAAGATGAGACACATGGATCCGGGAGCTGAATGACAACTCCAATGGCTCAGGAGAGCAGCCCGAGAACACTCCCTAGTCCACAGCATGTGTCCACACCTGTCCCCCTACCTCTCCTTGCTAACCAAGCCTGAGACTCCAGCTCCATGAAATGGATATGCTGCTACTCACCTCCTGCAGTGACTGCAAACATCAGGGAAATGAAGTCTCCCAAATCCCTGGCTCATGAGGTTTAGGGCCCTGATACTCTGTATGGTCCAGAGACAAGCACCACCAGCATCCCCAGGGAGCTACACAGAAACCACTCCATCCCCAGCTGCTAAAGCAGAGTCTAAATTTTAACATGACCCACTTGCACATGCAAGTTTGAGATGGAACAGACCAGTGGTTGTGGACTCCGAGGTGAGCATTTGTTACTGCTGCTGGGCTGCCCAGTATCCGCTTCCCTTTCTTTGGTAATGAGACCTCAAATTTCCTCTGGGAGCTCCCTCCCCATGGCATGTGATTGCAGTAGGGTGGAACAAATCCAGCCAGCCTGGCCAATCAGAGCATTCCTTCCCCTTGGCTAGTGACTGGCTCTGAGGCACGTGTGTGGCCCAATTCTGCCAATAAGAATCTGTCCTGGAAGTTTTGTTTGAACCATGGGGAGTAAGAAGCTCTCCTTTACCACCACACTCGAGACTGAAACACAGGACTAGAACTCTTGACAGCTATCTTGCTACCACCTGGGTCCCAAGAATGAAGCCATCAGAACGATGGCATTGTGTGATCTCCTGGATCAAGCTCTGCCTGAAGCAAGATACTTCATCTTTTGGTTATACAAGTCAATAACAACAACAATAAAAATAATTATTCCCATTTCAGAGATGGGAAAGAAATACTTGGAGAGGTAAAGGGAGGGAGAAATCTTACTGAAACAGGCTTAAGCAAAATAGTAAAATTATTCTTGTTATTGTTGTTGTTATTGACTTATATAACTAAAGCCTTGATCACCACCCTTTACCTTGCTGTCTCAATCTTCATGAGTCCCATGCTGGGGTCCTAGGGACCACCTGGCCAATAACTAGTTCCCACCTGAATCTCTGCGTCAGTCTACTCAGGAAGATGCCAACCCAAGGCAGAAGCTGAGTAGAATTTGAACCCAGGCAGCAGACTTCTGAGTCTGTTATCTTAACAATTATGCAACAGTGGTTTTTTTAAAATAAAGTATAGAAAAAATAAAATCACCTAAATGTCTAGGGACTGAAATGTATACCCACTATTCTTGCAAAACCACAGACCCTTAATGCACAGCCCTAGGGCTTCAACCCTAGACCCTCTAGAGCTAGTGCCCAGCTTTTCCTCCGTGCCCTGGCTCTCTTTCCCACCCTGCCTTCCTAGTCACCTGGGAGGTCCAGGCTCCATCTCATAAGGAGGGTCTGGGCCCCAAAAGCCTGAAAAATGGCGGGGCCTCATGGGTTTCAGGGCATGAGGGAGCCCAGCCTCCAAAGCAGAGCAAGGCTTCTGCAGCCTGAAATTGAAAGTTTCCTCCAACATCATCATTGTCTGCTCCTCAGTTCCTGGTGGGATTGTGAGCAGACAATGGGGAACTGGCAGGCCTGGTAATTAGCAGTAATTGTTTATAATATCTGGGCGGCTGCCTGATTTCCCATCCCAGGGAGCCTCACTGGCTGCCAAGGAACCAGGCTGATGCCCCAGAAACCCTGAATGAGCTATCCCATCTCCCAGGGATTGGAGGAAGAAGGAATAAAGTGGTGGCCAGTCCCTAATGGCCAGAGGGACGGCATTGGAGACCTTACTCCACCCTGGGATCTTCCTTGGAGTAGGAAAGGAAGCAGAGACTACAAAATCAGATCTGCTGGCCACCCGCCTGCTGTGTGACCTCTGACGAGGTGCTCTTGTCTCTGTGCCTGCACTTCAATGTTCTTATCTGCAAATGACATTGCACACTATTTAGTTGGCTGTATCAGCTTTATGTTTCCCAAATCTCTGCTACAGGACCCGTTAGCAAAGGAGTACAAGAGAGCTTAATGGATTCAGTGCCACATACATGCTATAACTTAGACCAGTCCTTACATGCAATCATGGGAACTCAATCCGTGTCCACTGCCAACCCTTACAGATGGACGCAAACTGGGAAAATAGAGGACAGCAGTGAAGGATGGACTTTGGCCTAACAGACACTGGATTCCGATGCTGTACAACTTGGGGCAAAATTTTTTAACCTCTCTGAGCTGCAGTTTCCTTAGGTATAAAATGGGGGATAAATAGTCATCACCTAGCTGAGTTGTTGGGGAGAGTCAGCAAGATACTGTGGGCAAGGGGCTTAGTCCAGAGTGTCTGCTGAGTGCATCAAGGAGAGACCAGGACCTGCCGGTGCTACCACCTGGCCTTGGAGTGCTTCCTCTCCTCTTCTTGGCATTTCATAGCATTTCTATTCCAGACCTGTTAAAAAGTGCAGGGTCTACGTGTGAGACCAAGCCCAGGCCGTCTGGGGACAGCAGAGGAAACACTGCCGCAGCAGCCTCCTGCCAGGGACACGTGCCACTTGGGCAAAGGCAGAGCCCTGAAACAGGATTACAACCCATATTCCACTGGCCTTGTAGTCTTTGTTAATGGTGAAATGAGATTTCCTGCATTTCAAATCCTGTTACGTTTGTTTATGGAGATGAAACCCATTTGTCTTTTATTATTAACCTCTGAGCTTGGTTCGGCCTCTGGATTTTTTTTTTGTGTGTTCTTGATGGTCAAAGAAGTGACTGGGTTATTCAGGGGTTTGACTCCATTCTCTTTTCCAGTTGGATCACGCGTCTCAAGGGCATCAGAAATTGAAAGGTTGCACAGGCCTCATGGTGATTATAGCTTATGTGGTTCTGAAAGGTTTTAGCAGCTTATGGGCTTCCTGTTCATCCACTCACTGCCCACCCCCCAACGTAAAACCCATCCGTCCACCTTCCCCCAAACTTGCTGAGCCTACAACATAGTCAATTCTGGTGCAACGTAAAATAAGTGTTCCTAAAAATTACTGTGCAATGCAAAGGCCTGCTATAAAAATCACAGAGCCTATGGGGAAAATGGGGTCAGTATCACATCAAAAAAAAAAAAAAAGAAAAAGAAGATGAATAGACAGGAACACAATAAAAACAACAGCATAGTTTTATACATGTTACATGGTTACGAAATGCATAAATACTACAATCAAAGAGGCACTTGACCTTGAAAACAACCTGAAGTTTGCTTGCGGAAGTGGGTGTCAGAAGGGCTGGAGCACGTGGGTTAGGGAAAAGATGAAATGGGATGGAGGCTCATGCCGCCAGGTGTGGATGGGTGTGGCTCACACACCGTAAACAGAGAGAGCAGGGTGTGCCCTGGGTGTGCGTTTTGTATATTCTTACCCAGGTGCAGATTTCTGCCTTCTCCTAGTGCTTCTCAATGTACCTGACTGAGCAAATGTGAAAACTGTTATGCGCAAATTCTTTCCTAATACTTCAGTCACGTTGTAACAAATTCTCATTTTCAAAACAAGTGCTGTAGCAGAATTGCCCATGTGCCAGGATACACCATATCACATAATCCTGACTCTGGCTTTTCAAGCAGGCAAGACATTTCCACACGTGGCCCCTCCATGAGACTGTGGTTTGTGAGCATGAAGCTGGGGATTTGATCTATTTTGTTATTGATCAAAAATTTGTCGGCTCGGCACCTGTGGCTCAATCGGCTAAGGCGCCAGCCACATACACCTAAGGTGGCGGGTTCGAATCCCCAGCCCGGGCCTGCCAAACAACAATAATGACTGCAACCAAAAAATGGCCGGCACTGTGGCGGACGCCTGTAGTCCCAGCTACTTGGGAGGCTGAGGCAGGAGACTCGCTTGAGCCCAGGAGTTGGAGGTTGCTGTGAGGCCATAGCACTCTACCCAGGGGGATAGCTTGAGGCTCCGTCTCAAAAAAAAAAAAAAAATTTGTCATGAACCAAGCACTGATAGTACTAAGTTATCAATGTTGACTCATGCAATCCTCTTAACAACTCTTAAAAGCTAGGTACTTGTAATTAATACCCATTTTACAGAAGGGGAAACCAAGGTATAGAAGTGTCAAGAAATTCAACCCAGATCACTCTGCTAAGAAATGGCAGACCTGGGACTTGAACCCTGAAATCCTGGCTCCAGAATTCACCTTCTTAAGCACTACCTTAGATGATTTCCTGTGTGCCCTGAGGGGACTTTAGCCTTGCCCTGAGCAGACCACAGGAATTTGCAGTCTAAGCTTTGGGGTCAGGCAGGCTTGAAACTGAATCCTGACTCCACCACTCACTAGAGACACATTCTTCCCCTCTTAAAGCCCTGGTTTCCTTTCCTCTTAAATAAGAATGAAGAACAAGATAATCTTCAGTGCTGCTATAAGAATTAAGTGAGATAAATGCCTTAGAACAGAGTCTGGCACATTTAAATGCTCAAGAAATACTACTGTTTATGAAATAAAACAAAAGAAATCCCATCTCCTAACCCACATCCATATCCAGTCCCACTCTGTCCTTTAGGCACAAAGACTTTGCTCAATCAATGACTACTAAATCACAGAAGCAGGAAAGGGAAGAGGGTCCTGCCCACCCCACTACCCACCCCAGCCTCCAGAGCCTTTGCTTATCAGAAACAGTCTCAGCATGAATGTAACTGTCAGCCTGCAATGGCCCCACCACTGGCTCACACTCTGCTCTCCGGGGCTATGGGCACAGTGACCCAGACACCCAGGGACCTGCGTGCTGATGACCCAGACACCTCAGGACAATGAGGGGCAGAAGTAAGGAGCAGGTGGGTGCTGGGAGCCAGCTCTGAGAGCTTCCAGGTTGTCCAAAAAGAGGCTAAGGCCCTGATTTTGTGAGCCGATGGATACTGGGAAGGAATGGAGTATGTACATGCTTCTGTCAACACTGAACCCTGTGTCCAGTGGGACAGACAGGTATATAGGTGACAATTAGGACACAGAATACAGGGT